GTTGAAAATCCAGGCTATAAACATCACTAACAAAATGATAGGACAGGACTCGCAGAATGTCGATAACGAAGTAGAAACAGCTGGGATAAAAAAAAAAAGGTTCAGAATGGAGTACCGCAAGGATTCAATTTAGGACCTCCGCTCTTTGTGATGTACCTCAGCGATATATCGACTCATATAATCAAATGTGTGGACGATACAGACATACGGAAAGATGGTGAGTTAAGACATTGTATCTCTGACTATGTAATGATCTACACGTAAGACTGGTAATAGCTGTTAGGTGTAGCCATGTGGAAACCTCGTTCATATGGAGCAGGATTACTCTGTCGACAACACTCCCCTGGCACCTGTAAGTAAAGGATAAAGAAAAACTATACTAGACCCAAGAAGTTATAATCATGTCTGTGAATATAAAGACAAGAGAATCAACTCAATTACCTTCCGTAGATCATTCATATGTCCCCACTGTAAACAAACAGAGACTAAACTTACAAGAAAGCCATAACCACTAGGAAAAAGACACTCGTATATCCAGAAAGAATAACATCTTGATCACTCCTCAAACAATAAACAACTGACCAGAGCTTAAGATCCTATAAACAGCGACACATAAACTCCATACATTTCTTTAAGGTGTTAGATACTACTACATACAAGAGATCATAGAGTTAAATTGGTTAAGTCTTTGATCCAACAGGCGAGATGTAATGGTGTCTTCCTTCACATACAGCAGAGAGTGACGCACCTGTGGAATAGTTCACATACCGTAGCCATGGAAACAAGAACGGTGGACGTGATTATTAACCATGGCGGAGGGACACTTAAGCCACCAGCTTCCTCGTGCCGTCAAGGTCTTTCCTGCTGGGGTGGTGGTGGTAGTAGTGGTGATGGTGGTGGCAGGAGTGATGGTCTAGTGTGGGGATGGTGGTGGTGTTGGGGGTGAGTAGATGGTATGTTAGCCCACCAAGACCACACTTATTTTCTTAATAACTTCACCACTTATCAGCTTATTAGCCATTCATGGTCGTTCTGTTCTTTATTATAACCTTTACTGTCCACTGCCATAGGGGGTGTCGCACTCTATAACAGCCATCTCACATCTGTTCCTGGTCGGGGATTGAACCCAGGACACATTCTGAGAGGGTCGCGCTTTACCAGATTGAGTCAATTAAGTAGAGAATCAAAATGATAAGTCATACGAAGAGACAAAAACAGTAGATACACCTTCCAAAACTCTAGTGTTCTGTGTGTTTGTTGGGTGAATGTTTAGAAGCTGCCATGCACGGAAATTACTACGGAAAATAGTTTTTTTAATGAGTATTGCATCATGTTTCATATGAATTTAACTTTCATTTCCGGCGGCAATGAATAGTTAGGGAGACATCACCCCCCCCCTCCCTCCCCACTCCCAATTACTAACAATATTGGTTGTACAAAGTGGGTAAGCAGAAAGAAATTGTGGGATAAAACAAAAACAAAAAACTAACAAGCCAAACCTCCTAACCAGAGAAACCAGAAGGACCTGACCTAACCCATCCCGCCCCTGGACCCCCGAGGTGTAAAAAACAAACTTACTTTAGGCAGTGTCTGTCTCTTGCTGTAATGCCAAGAACGTCTGATCTTCACCACACTGACAGTCTGAATCACACCTCGGACACTTGACTGAAGGAGGGAGAACACCATGAGCACTGAACCATTATGATTATTATTATCATTATTACCCAGGACTCGAATTGCTTCCGTTGTGGACTTATGACTGGCACAGACAGACAGACAAACACATTCTGTTATTATTTCTATTGTAGATATACGTGCACCTTTTCAGCGTAATGTGGTAAGGTGATTTTCTTTTTCTTTAATTATATATATATATATATATATATATACACATGTAAGTAGCTAAAACAACTATCTGTGCAGGTGGGGGTCGATATGCTCTGTCTGACTAGTGACAGCCCTCGTATACCAAAATTTATCGTCCATGGTCTTATATTGTTTCCCACAAAGTACCTGCTGTGAGTTATTAATAAAATAATATAATATCAATATAATACTGTACTAGAGGGGGGGAGGGGGACCAGCTCGCTCCATGCATAAAACTCTGTTATCAGATTAAGGGAGATTTTAAAATGTCATGTAGTACGGGGCTGGCCAGTGTGAGGCGTGAGCTGGGTCACCTTGAATTTCCGACAGCATCCTGTGTTTAGTGGCTGACAACTGCTGCATTTTACCACTATTTATATATATATATATATATATATATATATATATATATATATATATATATATATATATATATATATATATATATATATATATTTTTTTTTTAACTACAATAATATAAAGATAAAATAAATCAATATGAGCCATAAAAGGATTTATTTACTCGGGACTAAATTGATCTCTGTATTATAAGTTCTTGATTGTTTTAATGTCCTCTCAATAGTTTATAACACAGTACTATAGTCTGAGAAGTTTTTACAGGTGTTTAGATGAAAAATTAACCTCAATAAATTAAAGATGTGGCAGCCAATAGCAGCCGTGACTAACACTAACGTACTCATTAGCCAACGCTCTGAACCAGCCCCTCCCCCCCCCAAAAAAAAAAAATTACAATCCTGATGACTTAATACCAATATATTTATTTTAGCAGGGAATTAGATTTTTTCAGCTTGGGACAGAGAGTGAGTTCGGTCCAACCAGGTGACGTATGTGGTTGTTGACGATTATAATTCTTAAATGTTATTAGTCTTTGTGAACCAGCATGCTTCATGGACACAAGTATAATTAAGAGATGAATGGCTGTGTAAGAGGAAGTTACCTATTAGTTTATTTCAGAAGTGTATGGGGCATATAAACATGACCGGTGTTTAACATTATGGGACAGACTATAAACATGACCAGTGTTTAACATTATGGGACAGACTATAAACATGACCAGTGTTTAACATTATGGGACAGACTATAAACATGACCAGTGTTTAACATTATGGGACAGACTATAAACATCACCAGTGTTTAACATTATGGGACAGACTATAAACATCACCAGTGTTTAACATTATGGGACAGACTATAAACATCACCAGTGTTTAACATTATGGGACAGACTATAAACATGACCAGTGTTTAACATTATGGGACAGACTATAAACATGACCAGTGTTTAACATTAACAGACTATAAACATGACCAGTGTTTAACATTATGGGACAGACTATAAACATCACCAGTGTTTAACATTATGGTACAGACTATAAACATACCAGTGTTTAACATTATGGGACAGACTATAAACATACCAGTGTTTAACATTATGGGACAGACTATAAACATCACCAGTGTTTAACATTATGGTACAGACTATAAACATAACCAGTGTTTAACATTATGGTACAGACTATAAACATACCAGTGTTCAACATTATGGAACAGACTATAAACATCACCAGTGTTTAACATTATGGTACAGACTATAAACATCACCAGTGTTTAACATTATGGTACAGACTATAAACATAATTTAACATTATGGTACAGACTATAAACATATAAACATCACCAGTGTTTTATGGTACAGACTATAAACATCACCAGTGTTTAACATTATGGTACAGACTATAAACATAACCAGTGTTTAACATTATGGTACAGACTATAAACATAACCAGTGTTTAACATTATGGGACAGACTATAAACATCACCAGTGTTTAACATTATGGTACAGACTATAAACATAACCAGTGTTTAACATTATGGTACAGACTATAAACATAACCAGTGTTTAACATTATGGGACAGACTATAAACATCACCAGTGTTTAACATTATGGTACAGACTATAAACATAACCAGTGTTTAACATTATGGTACAGACTATAAACATAACCAGTGTTTAACATTATGGGACAGACTATAAACATCACCAGTGTTTAACATTATGGTACAGACTATAAACATAACCAGTGTTTAACATTATGGTACAGACTATAAACATAACCAGTGTTTAACATTATGGGACAGACTATAAACATCACCAGTGTTTAACATTATGGGACAGACTATAAACATCACCAGTGTTTAACATTATGGTACAGACTATAAACATAACCAGTGTTTAACATTATGGTACAGACTATAAACATCACCAGTGTTCAACATCATAGAACTTACATATAAACATCGCCAGTGTTCAACAATACAGAGGGAGACATTTTGCGTGTTCAACAATAAGGCAACGAACACGTAACATTGCCACATTAGACACAAACAGACTGTGCTCTCTCTCTCTCTCTCTCTCTCTCTCTCTCTCTCTCTCTCTCTCTCTCTCTCAGCCACCTCTTATTAAAATGTTATAGAGCTGACATATACATAACACTAACATACGTACATCCAGGGAGTGACCTTTCAATATTAAAGAAAAGTCTACAGGCTAGTTCTATTTTTAACCTATCACCTGCGTCATGCTATGTAATGCTATCTTTAAACTGTATTCAGAGAGGGGTGATCTGTGAGGGGGAGTGGGGCAGGAGGAGGAGGAGGGGAGAGCTGCTGCACTACACTCCATGAACAATAATATCGAGTCACAATAGGAAAATATTATGTGGGGGGGGTGGGGGTATGTGGGGGGGGTGGGGGGCAGATGTGGTGGAGGGAGTTGCTATGAGTTGTGAGTGTGGTGTCACGATTGTCACGTTGGAAGTGGTGTGTGTGTGTGTGTGTGTGTGTGTGTGTGTGTGTGGGTCAGCAGGACAGCAACGCGCATGTATACACGTGAGCCATTCAAGGGGATCCCTCACCCACCTCACCCACTCATATCCTCCACCCTAAAGTCGGGGTTTTATTATAACATTGACAGTAAACTACATCCTAATCTATTGTGTGACTGGTGTATAAATGTTGTATTTTGTCCTCATTCACTACCACATTGATAGATTCATTATGTCTGGCTTGGTTATTACATATTACAGTGAAATATAGTCTTGGATTCCAGATTTATTGTATTATTGGTGTATTGAGTGTTGTATTCTATCCTCATACATTACCAGTGATAGATTCATGCTCAGTATAACCCCGAGGCTTGGTTATACAGTACTTATACAAGCCACGTGTGTTGTCATGTGATATACCGGAGAGAATAGTGAAGAGTCTGAGGTTTACAGCGGAACAAAACGATCAAGCAAGAGAATCGATAAGGTTTTCATAAAAGTGGATGATACCTCCAGGAACAAGTGGGTTAGGGGTGAAATTTGAGATAGAAACGTCCAATTTTGATTTGATCGATTATGGTAGCTGTTAAGGTGTGTGATCGTTTGGTGGAAGTGTAAGAGAGTGCTGATGGTAAATCCCTGTTATCGACCAAGGAATGAATGGTGGGAATATAGCATGTGGGGCTGCGACACTGATGCAGTCGGCTGGCACACGTGGAGGCGGCAACACTGCTCCTGGCTGTCTCCTGTGAGTGACCACATCGTTGTCACGGCTATAGCGGGTGTGAGTAGTGACGGATTGTGGTGTGGCCTGGTGGAAAAGTGGCATTCGGCCTCAGTAGTGGTATACTTCGTGAGATAGGTGCTTGTGTTAAAGAGCCGTCAGTCACGGGCGGAGACCGGTGTTGTCACGTGATCAAACACTGGCAGCTGTGGAGGTCTTGGCAACCGTGGGGATAAAGTTACCCTCTTCAACATGTCGGAGGAGTCAGTGTTGTTCTTCGTGTTACTAGTGAAGTGTCAGTGACCAGAGTGACGTCTGTGTCTCATAACTGTGTTTATTAAGACTGTTTAACTTGATTCAATTGTTCCAGTGACAAATTTACTGAAATCGATTAATATGAGCAACGTTTTCTGTTGTTCACCAAATCAGTTTTCTCTTATTCTATCCCTCTACCACTACGCCCTTCCAACAAAGACAGGGGAAACTTAAGTGAATAAAGGTGTTAATTTTTATTCTTTTTGGTATTTTAATTTTAAAAGAGTGACTTGCTATAGATGCCAGTTGAAGCACCTAAGTATTCACCATTTGGACTTTAATGAACACTAAGATATTCCCGTAAAATGATAAGAGTTCTTTAGTGTGCCAAGGTCCTGTTGTCGCCCCGAGCAATAATTGATAAGTTGGGACACACACTTTGGTTGTTATTGTTTACGTCTGACTGATTAACTGGCTTATAATAAAAAGAAACATAAACAAACTTTTATCCATTTCTGCACAATAATATCCCTAAATAAATAACTCGGTTGGGAAGTTGTTACTGTGAGAGATGAACCAAAATTTCAGGACTTTCAAAAACCCTCAAACATCTGTCATTCAGGTGGCACTTTTGTTGTGTTTGGCCAGCTGGGGGTGAACTGTGGCGTCATCGACCAGCCTTTGTATGCTTGGTCCTCCACACTTCATACTTGGAGGGGAGAGATGTCTTGGAATCACCTGAAGATTAACCACCCTAACACTAACCTGACCTAACGCTAACCTAACTTTAATGCTAATCTAACCTGACCTAATCTAACGCTAACGTACCTTAATGCTAACTTAACAATAACGTAACGAAGCCTAACCTAACCAAACCTAACCAAACAAAACCTAACCTAACCTGACCTAACCCAAGTCTTCCATGTAGGGGGACACACCTATACTGTGCTCACCTAATGTGTGTGTGTAGGACTTCTGACGAGACAACGACTGTACTCTCCTTTTGCCCAGGTACCGTCCTTCTCCAGGTACAGTCTTTCTCCTCCAGGTACAGTCTTTCTCCTCCAGGTACAGTCTTTCTCCTCCAGGTACCGTCCTCCTCCTCCAGGTACCCTCCCCACAAGGTGTAACTTTTGACTAGTGTGAATGTATGTACATACAGTAGAGTATATGTTTGTGTGTGTGTGTATTTGTCATTACGAAAGTGTATGTGTGTTCATTTAACTTTGTATATCGTGTATGTTTTTCGTTTGTGTTTTTTGTGTGTTTATATATATATATATATATATATATAGCCTATATACTGTATGTGTTGTGTAGACGGATTCATTATGTATACTGTATGTGTTGTGTAGACGGATTCATTATGTATACTGTATGTGTTGTGTAGACGGATTCATTATGTATACTGTATGTGTTGTGTAGACGGTATTCATTATTATGTATACTGTATGTGTTGTGTAGACGGATTCATTATGTATACTGTATGTGTTGTGTAGACGGATTCATTATGTATACTGTATGTGTTGTGTAGACGGATTCATTATGTATACTGTATGTGTTGTGTAGACGGATTCATTATGTATACTGTATGTGTTGTGTAGACGGATTCTGTATGTATAGACGGATTCATTACTGTATGTGTTGTGTAGACGGATTCATTATGTATACTGTATGTGTTGTGTAGACGGATTCATTATGTATCCTGTATGTGTTGTGTAGACGGATTCATTATGTATACTGTATGTGTTGTGTAGACGGATTCATTATGTATACTGTATGTGTTGTGTAGACGGATTCATTATGTATACTGTATGTGTTGTGTAGACGGATTCATTATGTATACTGTATGTGTTGTGTAGACGGATTCATTATGTATACTGTATGTGTTGTGTAGACGGATTCATTATGTATACTGTATGTGTTGTGTAGACGGATTCATTATGTATCCTGTATGTGTTGTGTAGACGGATTCATTATGTATACTGTATGTGTTGTGTAGACGGATTCATTATGTATACTGTATGTGTGTGTGGATTTATTATGTATACTGTATGTGTTGTGTAGACGGATTCATTATGTATACTGTATGTGTTGTGTAGACGGATTCATTATGTATACTGTATGTGTTGTGTAGACGGATTCATTATGTATCTGTATGTGTTGTGTAGACGGATTCATTATATATCCTGTATGTGTTGTGTAGACGGATTCATTATATATACTGTATGTGTTGTGTAGACGGATTCATTATGTATCCTGTATGTGTTGTGTAGACGGATTCATTATATATCCTGTATGTGTTGTGTAGACGGATTCATTATATATCCTGTATGTGTTGTGTAGACGGATTCATTATATATCCTGTATGTGTTGTGTAGACGGATTCATTATATATCCTGTATGTGTTGTGTAGACGGATTCATTATATATCCTGTATGTGTTGTGTAGACGGATTCATTATATATCCTGTATGTGTTGTGTAGACGGATTCATTATATATCCTGTATGTGTTGTGTAGACGGATTCATTATGTATACTGTATGTGTTGTGTAGACGGATTCATTATATATCCTGTATGTGTTGTGTAGACGGATCTCATTATATATCCTGTATGTGTTGTGTAGACGGATTCATTATATATCCTGTATGTGTTGTGTAGACGGATTCATTATATATCCTGTATGTGTTGTGTAGACGGATTCATTATATATCCTGTATGTGTTGTGTAGACGGATTCATTATATATCCTGTATGTGTTGTGTAGACGGATTCATTATATATCCTGTATGTGTTGTGTAGACGGATTCATTATGTATGTAGACGGATTCATTATATATCCTGTATGTGTTGTGTAGACGGATTCATTATATATCCTGTATGTGTTGTGTAGACGGATTCATTATATATCCTGTATGTTGTGTAGACGGATTCATTATGTATACTGTATGTGTTGTGTAGACGGATTCATTATATATCCTGTATGTGTTGTGTAGACGGATTCATTATGTATACTGTATGTGTTGTGTAGACGGATTCATTATGTATCCTGTATGTGTTGTGTAGACGGATTCATTATGTATCCTGTATGTGTTGTGTAGACGGATTCATTATGTATACTGTATGTGTTGTGTAGACGGATTCATTATGTATACTGTATGTGTTGTGTAGACGGATTCATTATGTATACTGTATGTGTTGTGTAGACGGATTCATTATGTATACTGTACTCTTAAGTTTGACACGTGCTCCTCAATCTAATGTCTTTTGTTTCTCTCAGTACCTTTAATGTTTTATCTCTCTTACGTCACCTGAGTACCTTGTGACTGAGCTTTGATTGATAACATTATAATTACTAGAAGTATTATTATTAATTTAGGTATTATTCGTAGTAGTAGTAGTTACCAGGGTTGGAGTAATTATACCTTTTTAAATCAATTACAATTACAAATACAAATACTTGTCTGCATTTTTTATTACAATTACAATTATAATTATATTTCAAATGTTAAATTACATTATAATTTCAATTACAATTTCAAGTTTCCACATTCTAGCTCACCCTTTGAAAAGAAAACCGTCCTAAGGGCTAAATCCGTATTGATGAATATTTTTCACTTAAAACTATTGTGAAAAAGGCAGACATAGGCTATCAAAATTTCAGTGCAGTCCATGTATACTGCAAGTTACACATAATATTTACAAAGCTGCGAGTTTTTAAAATAATTCACCATTACACTTTATCATTAACAATGACAGGAAAGGAGCCACATCAAGTTGGGCCCTGTTGCAGTACACCCCATCAGCTCCCTTGCCAGGTTCTTCAGTGGGTGCAAGGTTGGGGACACTTCTTTCCAGTAGACCATTGGATTACTTGAAAATGGGATAGTTCCTTCTTCCACATATTGCTTCAACAACAGACTCAGTGTATTTCCCTCGGGTCCTCGTTGATTTTGTGGCCTAGTTGAAGATGGTGGTATGAAGGAGAAAAGTCTGGGTCTTTTTTATTCAGGTAATCCTTCTGCTCGATCATCTTTGTCATTTTCTTCCTCTGTGGATCCCCCCTGAATTGCCTCCGATTCTTCCAACATTTCCTTGTTATCAGTCAGTACCTGGTCCTTCTGCTCCTGTGACGACGGCCAGTCCAGTTTGAACCTAGGATCCAGAAAAGCCGCTGTTCGAACATCCCTCATTTCTATGTATGGGTCCAACCTTTTCTTCACAGACTCCAGCAGGACTCTAGCCAAAGGTTCACAGTACTGCAATTGGCTGTTGTTGGAAGACAAAGATCTCAGTAGATGCCCCAGTGAATGTTTAGGTCCCTGAATTACTGGTCCAATGGCAGATATGGTTACCTTCTTCTGCCCCTCCACAACTTCCATGGCCTCTTGAAAAGGTTCGAGGACACTGACAAGCTCCTTCAAGGCAGAAATCTCCATTGGTATCAGATTTTTCCTTCTCTCTCTGGGACAGAAGATCAACTGCAGTGTTCACCTCGACAGAATTCTTGAGTAAAGATTTCACCATTTTCAGTTGTGAATTCCATCGCGTCACATTTTGTGTCTGGAGAACAATCCCTTTAGATCGAAGGTATAGAGCAGCTACTGTTGACTTTCGAATTGAGTTGACCAAGGATGCAACTTTCTGAAGTGTTGATGACAGAAGTGAAGTTTTAGCATCTAGATGAGTAAACCCATCCTTCACACACAGTTGCTGAATGTGTGTAAAGCAACCCATTCTTTGAGGGAGGAATGACAGAATATCTTCCAAGTTAATATCTACTTCAAGGATGTTGGGGTCACCTCCTGTTAGTTCCTGATCCACGTAGAAACTTGGCAGGGACACGTCAAAAGCTTCAACCACTTTCTTGACTTTTCCTTGAATGCTCGGGGAACTGAGTTCATAATTACAATTAAATGATTTTCATTTAAATTACAATTATAATTACAATTAACTGATAACTTTTCAAATTACAATTACAATTCCCATTTTCTTGTAATTAAGTTTCAATTAAATTATAAATACAATTACTCCAACCCTAGTAGTTACTAGTACTTACCGCGTGTTAATTGGATGGTATTCTTGTTCAAGTACGATATATTTTTACTGTATGATAATATTTCTATTTTTCATTTCAGACAAAATTCCTCAACATGACTTAGTATACCCAGACGTGAGGACGACAGAGGTAGTGGTGGCGATCATCTAGTAAAACAAAGTCTTCAGAAGGAGGTAAACAACACGACGGCGCTCGAGTAAGAATGTGATACCCGGTGAAAAGAACAATGGAAGGGAAAAACCACAATATTACACGTGTACATAAACAATACACCTGAAATAAATGTGACTGAAATAAAAAAAAATAAAGTCGTGTGGCTACTTATGAGGTATTGAAGATTTTATTAATTACGTGATGACAGTGAGTGAGGGAGACTTTTGTGTGTAGGTGTGTGCCTGTAACGGCTGTTGCTACTGCATGAGACGTGGTGTAGGATCCGGCCACCATGAACTTCACGACGCTGCTGTGGACGTTGGTGTTGGTGGTGCTGACGGTGCTCAAGGTGGCCATCACCATCGTCATCACCACCATCAAGACCATCCTGGTGAAGAACGATTGGCTGTGGACGCAAGGTTGGAACATGGTGGTGTCGTTTGGCCAGCGGGTGGTGGGCCTGGTCGTGGAGGGCGCCAACCTCGGCCTGGGCAACATGATGGCTACCCTCCTCCATGACCTTACCGTCTTCCTCTCCGGGGCTTTTGGTCTGATGGTGACGGTGTTGTCCAAGCTCATGACGGCCACCTACTGGCTGGTGAAGTACCTGGTCAGTCGCTGTAAGGAGATGCCCAACGTCAGCACCAAGAACAACGTCACCGAGGAAAAGGCGCTCACCATTCACGACCTCAGCTAGTCGACCACCTCAGTATGTAGACATCTAAACGACGTCTCAGCTAACCGACATCTTCAGTTAACCGGCGTCTATAGCTAAACGACGTCTTTAGCTAAACGACGTCTTCAGCTAACTGGCGTCTTCAGCTAACCGGCGTCTTCAGCTAACCGGCGTCTTCAGCTAAACGACGTTTTCAGATCGCTCACAACTGTATGATAGATACTCAAACGTCAGCCAGAAAATGACTACATGTAACAGACAACTTTAGCGGGCTGCGGGCTTCATATTTCATCGACGACCCCAGCTGAATCGGTGACGTCAAATTGTCCACAAACCTTTAACGCATCGACCTTAATTAAGAAGACGTCCTGTAGAAAATGGTAACAGCAGCCCTCCTCACCTGCACACCCAGACACCCCCCACCAAGTTTATTGCGTCATTTACACTACGTACATTGATCTCACTTCACCCGACTACCTCATATGGATGTTCTCAAACACAACGATCACTTCCCTCCTTCGTCACGCGGAAGATGTGAATTAGGAAGCCAAAGTTTTTTTTACGGGATATATTTAATGTAAATAAATAATCTTGTCACTCGACCCTCCACAGCCTTCCCGGTTGTGTTTTTATTGTATTTTAAGATGTTATTATAATTCTGGTAATTTGTAAATAACTAATATGATGTTTTTAAGGAAATTTAATGTTTTTTGAGTGTCGTCGTTTCTGTATTTTGAGCACTGAGTTTGAAAAATTCTTCTGCATTCAGATATTCAAATTATTAACATAATCGTCTTTGTAATTGAAGACTTGAGAAAGCACGACCAGTATTTTAGTCGGTATTATTATTGTGGTTTATCAAAGTGATAACCTGAAGTGAACGAGCCGTCATTGTTTACAGTCGGGTGTTGGATCACAATTCACGTAATAATGTTGAATTCCGTCGAAGAAAAAACTGAAACTACTAAAGGCAATAAAGACGTTTGTTTTGTTATTGAGTGTTTCTTTGGAAGATGTGTATTGAGAGTCAGTATTAACTGAAAAACACAAATGTATGTCATCACAAGTTTCTTAAATTTAACTGAAATGTTCACTGCACAAGTTATTGCTCTACCAGAACCATCCTGTTGTTACAGCATTAATGAGAGGTAAATGTTTTATTACACTAGTCGAGCTTACACTAGCATATATTTATTTCATACTCATAAAGCCACGTTTGAACTTCCTGCCAAACATATTAACAGGAGTTAGTTTAGGTAGGTTTCTGTGCTTCCCCTTCAGTGCCTTCACTGTCTACTCTGCTGCGTCTCCCGCTGGTCCTCCTTGACTGACCAGCCTAGGTGACTAATGCTTCTTGTCTTTGTCTCGTGTCCTTGATGCTTCTTCTTCTTCTTCAGCGACAGGAATTTAGTCAGTAGAGAAAAATGTCTGTTCAAAGTTAGACAATAAGGTGACGATTTGACCATTTATATGAGGGACGGTCGAGTCTTCAGTGTGAGGAACTAGTTGAGTGCGGTAACTGAGGCAGATATTAGCATCGTTGTGGTGAGTGAGTTGAGTTACAGGCTGTGAGGTGACGACTGTGTTAGCTAGACAATAAGACGATGGTGCTTCTTGTGTACTGCTGGTGATAACCGTGATGGTGAGGAGACCCGCCCACATGCTGGTGTTGTGTGTGTGTGTGTCTAGACCACGATGAGATAAACTTAAAACCTAATAGGCTGTGATACTTTATCTTAGAGTCGTCACTATTATTATAAAGGAGAAAATAATCTGCTTTTCATCAACAGGGTAAAACTTAAAATAAAGTTTGGATTGCTTTTACAACATCTGACATGTTCTTTGCTTGTTGGAGATAAATGAGGGAAAAAAATCATGCACAATTTGTTTATTCTGTTTCATATACACGTGTTTTTCTTTCTGAAATGTTGTATGTGTCGTTTACATTAAGAACAAACACTTGATAGTTTATTTATTGTTCTAAACACAGATAGCCTCGTCACCACCATATTACATTACATTAATAACCAGTGTGTAAACATTAGTCTGCTCTGATGGACAATTGTTAACCAAAAAAATATTTATTATTTATGATTCAACCACATTTACTGTGTTCTGCCTCCTGGTGGTTCTTTGTTTAAGTGTCTGATGGATATTTTGTTTTAATAAAATTCTTATGATGAATGGCAAGTGTGTTGTTGTCTCTGCTACTTTTGATATTTGAGGGAGTTGGGCTGGGCTACTGCTGGCCCGCCTTATGCACCACCCCACACATAATGTACATACTACTTGGTAAACACGGAGGCTGGCGACACGTATGCTAGATTAGTCACCCCAGTTTATTTCATCTTAAGATTAACCCAACCTAACGCTAACCTACCCTAACGCTAACCTAACCTAACCTAACCTAACCTAACCCAACCTAACGCTAACCTACCCTAACGCTAATCTAACCTAATCAATCGTAACCTAATCTAATCTAACTTAAGGTAACATAATAAAGCCAAACTGCACTAACCAACAATAACTTAATCTAATCCCGCCGATGCAGCGTTAGGTTGAAATAAGCTAGGGTGTCTAATCTTCACATGATTCGGCAATAAATTAAACTAATGGTAATTAATGTGTTGAAGATGGTGAGGTGCTGACTGGCCAGTTTTTATATACGGCAGTGCGCGTGTTGAAAATGGGAATTACCCGCCAGGAAATTTGTAACCAGTCACTCAAAAAAATATATATACCAAATTCCTTAACAATATGACAACAGACGAAGGATTTTGACAATTCTACCGAGACAACAGGAGTCGTAACGTTCATTCTGAAATTCGTGAACCCGCTCAAGAGAAGATAGTTTATTTAGTGATTACATTATCATAATCATCACACATTTAAAAAACCTGTACACTGAATTATACATAAGTACAAAGGGATTATCCCCATGTTGCCTTAGATGTCTCGGTAATGTTATCATGGAATTTAATTTAATCTAGATGAATGTTTGGGGAGAGTGAGTGTGTGACGTCAGAGCCAGGTGCCGGGTGAGGGAGGAGCCGCCTCTTGTGTGCGTGTGTACAGTATGAGTTTCTGTCCGTGCGAGTTTATCTGAGTGTTCTTGTGCGTGTGTATGTATGTGTGTGCACGTACATGAGTGTTTGTATTCGTGTGTGAGTGTAAGTAATAAAATCAATTACTATAAAAGTTGCTCCTGGTATTAGTCTCATAAGAGCTTAATTATCATAAACGCAGGTCAAAGGTCAGACTCCCTTGAGCCCTTCACCTAGCACACGGTTCTCATTGTCGTTCCAGCAAGTGTAGGCATAACCTAACCTAATCTAACGCTAACTTAACCTAACCTAACACTAACCTAATCTAACCTAAATTAATCTAACCTAACCTAATCGAAACTAACCTTACCCAAATCCAACCTAACTCTGACCTAATCTAACCTAAGCTAATCTAACCTTACCTAACCCCCAGGTAACATTAGGGTGTCTAATCTTCAAGTGAATCCTAAAAGAGATTACAGATTTCTTTAGTGAAAATTGACAGGTGTGTGTGTGTGTGTGTGTTAAGTGTTGGCTGGGAGGAATTCGATTAATTTTGTAGAGTAACTCAGGGGTCAAGGAGACGATGGAGGTCAAAGCTATATACAAACTGAGAGGGGGGAGGGGGTATGTAATTAGATTAATGAGTTTCGGATCACATGAAGATTAGTCCCGCCCCTCCCCTCCCCCTCCTCTCCCCCTCCCCTCCCCCCTCCCCTCCTCTCCCACCTCCTCCGCAATGGTTTTATTTGCACCTGATTGGTCAAACACCCGAACGTTACTTGGGCAGTTAGATTAAGTTAGGCTGGGGTTAGGTTAGGATAAAATGGGTCAGTGTTAGGTTAAGATAAAATGTGTTAGGTTAGGATAGTGTTAGGTTAGGATAAAATGGGTTAGGTCAGTGTTAGGTTAGGATAAAATGGGTTAGGTTAGGATAAAATGGGTTAGGTTAGTGTTAGGTTAGGATAAAATGGGTTAGGTCAGTGTTAGGTTAGGATAAAATGGGTTAGGTCAGTGTTAGGTTAGGATAAAATGGGTTAGGTCAGTGTTAGGTTAGGATAAAATGGGTTAGGTCAGTGTTAGGTTAGGATAAAATGGGTTAGGTCAGTGTTAGGTTAGGATAAAATGGGTTAGGTCAGTGTTAGGTTAGGATAAAATGGGTTAGGTCAGTGTTAGGTCAGTGTTAGGTTAGTGTTAAGTCAGTGTTAGGTTCAGGATAGCTTAGGTTAGTGTTAAGGTGATCAATCTTAAGGTGAAATAAACAGAGGTAGAGAGAGGGTGAAAGAGACAGAAAGGGGAAGAGGGACAGAGAGACAGAGAGGATCAGGGTCACTACCAGGCTATAATCTTAACATATTTATAACTAGAAGTGTCTAACACGCCTACTAGAAATGTCATACACCTACGGACAAGAGGCAGAGTGAATTATGCACCACGACAAGCAACGCACGTCCACACAACACAGGAGACGTCACGGAGAACTTACACGTCACACAACACACGTCACGGAGAACTTACACGTCACACAACACACGTCACGGAGAACTTACACGTCACACAACACACGCCACGGAGAACTTACACGTCACACAACACACGTCACGGAGAGCTTACACGTCACACAACACACGCCACGGAGAGCTTACACGTCACACAACACACGCCACGGAGAGCTTACACGTCACACAACACACGTCACGGAGAGCTTACACGTCACACAACACACGTCACGGAGAACTTACACGTCACACAACACACGTCACGGAGAGCTTACCGTCACACAACACACGTCACGGAGAGCTTACACGTCACACAACACACGCCACGGAGCTTACACGTCACACAACACACGTCACGGAGAGCTTACGTCACACAACACACGTCACGGAGAACTTACACGTCACACAACACACGTCACGGAGAACTTACACGTCACACAACACACGCCACGGAGAGCTTACACGTCACACAACACACGCCACGGAGAGCTTACACGTCACACAATACGCGCCACGGAGAGCTTACACGTCACACAACACACGTCACGGAGAGCTACACAACACAGGTCACACAACACAACAACAAAACAACAGATTTTATACCAGACTTCACACAGCATTCAAAGACCCTTCGCGGAAGTTCTTAACTGTATATTATTACCGGTTATAATAGGTCCATAAACTATCATTATCTCCTGACATCACAAAATGCTATGTCATTGACGCCTTTCTTACTCACAAGAGGCAAATCTATTTTTACTTTTCGTTACGGAGTTGTGAGTAAATTTGTAAGAAATTTGACGAGTAATTTTTCATATTTTTATTCTGAACAATGGATAGTTGGATATGCTTAGATTGATGAGGAAATTAAGTATAAGTATCGTTATATTATTATTGTGTTTAAGGTTAAGGTAAGTTCGGGTAAATTTAGTTAGGTTTGGTTTGGTTAGGTTAGATTGGGTGCTTCGCTGTCTACCTTCTTCAAACACATGTAGATAATCACAATAAATAATTATAAAGGAATAATTTCTTACATAACCTAAACTACCCTACATTCGTCTTAAATGAAAGATTTGTTAATCATATGCAAATTAATTTCCATTAAGCTATTTCAATAAAAACCAAAATACTCCCTTTTTCGAAAAATAATAAAATGTTTTTTAAAACTTAATTGGCGATTATCCCTATTTAGTATAACGTGTCACGCACAATAGGGATAATGGCTCGATTAAAGTTTAAAAGGCAACGCTTTCGCCAAAGAGGGATAAATTCTTCTTTTTTATTGCCATAACTTATTTAAAAAATATTTGTATAAGATAGAATTTTCTGTTTCATTTAAGACGTCGTTCCCACCAAAGCTAAACAAATTATACCTACAGTAGGTTAGGTCAGGTTAGGCTTTGTATGAAACTAATCATTCTATCGTATTGTTTGATTTTCTGCATGGTCGTTTATGGTATATTGAGCATCATTATAGAGCAAACAGTGGGAGAAAATAATACATTTCTTTACATGTGCTGTTTTATGTGCATAATTGTTCAGCAAAATATACCAATGAAATGAGGGGAATGCCGCATTCACCTTAGACTCCCGCATATTCTCATTTGGTGCTCCAGTTCATATTGATTTTCTCTCGACTTACTGTATTGTATATTCAATGGCCTACAGCTTTTGTAGTTATATAATATTAGTTATCGTAGCTGTCATCACCCAATACAATTATGTATCATGATCATCATAAGCATCAGTATCGCGTTGTTGCTTATTACGAGAACCAGTAGTGAGATAGACACCGCTGGCAACCCTCAGGTAGCGCTTCCGTGGCGTCTCTTGTCAGGTTGTTGTGCAGCAGACGACGTGCCAGTGTAGGCGGGGACGCTCGGTGGCATGGTGCATCAAGTAAGCAGTACAACTCTCCTTCTATTAGTTCAGTTACTGTGGATGATTGACGATGATTAGCTTGTTGTCTTGCTGGAGAGGTTGAAGGGTGACAAGTGTGATGCTGACCCCAAAACAGCAGTAATTTCTGTCGTAGAATGGAGAGTGTTGCACCGAAGAAAAGTTTGAACGGAATTATCAATACTATACATGCATCATTATGGGAAGTATTCCTCTTGCTAATTGCAGTGTTAATTTGTATTTCATTAATGTAAGACGAAAGGACTTGCACATGCTACATCCTTATTCCTGGCCAGATAACAAGTTGATTTTGCATTAGATACTTCTTCCTTAAGAGATAGTGTCCATCAGACAGCTACACGGGAAAAACACAAATGACGTTACTGTATATTTACATTAGAACAAATAAAAAATATATAAAAAACTCATATTACCTTTGAAATAAACACATAAATTGGTGGTATTCTCGTGGATTACCAAGTGTAGCTAAAGCGTAGACCATCTGGGCTTGAAGTAACGATGTTGGACAGTTATGTGGTTTTGTCTACATGTGTGACAGCTACCAGTCTCCTTCATTAGTTAACATAGGAATTAAAAAGTTTGTTCACGCAGCATTAGCGATCATAGTACGGGTTGAGATAAATTCTAATGACACATTATTTTATATACTTGTATTCCTAATCGATACAGACGATTTGAAATTACTATAACAACGACATATGATTCACAAATAAGAAATTTCAATACATACTGGTATAATGTTGCGAAATATTACCAGCCTATGGAAATTGAGCCAATATTGGTTATGAAGATAATAAATGCTTGAATAGATTAATAAATTATACTTGAAATTTCATATTTTTGGCTGCATAATAATAATGATATTTGTCTCAAAGTTAACACTATTTATTTAACAGCGTGATGGGCCAGTAATAGAAGTGTGTGTGTGTGTGCGTGTGTGTGTGTGCGTGTGTGTGTGCGTGTGTGTGTGGGAGGGAGTGATTTTTTTATTACTTCTATTTTTAAACAAACAGGATAATTATTATTTTTTTATGAAATTTAATCAACAGGGAATATTAATGTAGGGGTGAATATAACTGGTAATAATGTAGTAAGGATGTCGTTGTTTATAATTTAGATTGCGTGATAGTTTATTTGAGTGTGCTGTTTAGATTTTAGGAAGTACAGTGAGTATTGGTTTGGGAAGAGAATGGAGGTATGAGTGGGGAGATGCAGTTGCGTTGGGAAGTGTGAAGTGTAAGTTAGATTTGAATAGATACTTGAGTGGGATAGCCTGATGTATCTCCACCCCAACCTAACCTAACCTAACCTAACCTAATATAACTCCCCAAGGTAGCATTAGGGTGGTTAATCTTCAGGTGAAATAAGGGTAAGTATCAAGTCTCCTTTACCCTTCCTCTACCCCATCAGCTCCACTCTTCCTCTTTCACCTCCTCCCATTCCCTCACTTCACCTCTCCTCTCCCCTACCCCTCCTCTGTTCTCATCTCTCTTACTCCTCTCCTCTCCGTTACTCCTCCTCTCCTGTCACCCACTCTTCCTCCTCCTCCCCTCTCTCTTACTTCTCCTCCTCCCCTCGTTCCTCATCCACCCCTCCTCATCCAATTTCTCCTCATCCACCCTCCCTCATCCACCCTCCTCATCCACCCCTCCTCATCCACCCTCCCCATCCACCCTCCCTCATCCACCCTCCCTCCACCTCCTCTTCCTCTTCATCCAGACCTCCTCCTATTGTGTCACGGGTTATATTACACCATATTTGTTGGGTCTTAAGGTTAATGGTCAGTAATTATTACAGAGCTTAATGTAGCGAGGAGATATATATGCTATACACTTATATATATATATATATATATATATATATATATATATATATATATATATATATATATATATATATATTGAGACTGTTTACTGTATCTGATAATGATAGTACTAGGAGGTGTGTGTGCGTGTGTCTTCTGCAACTATGGCGACCTGTGGTGTAATGGTCAGCATGCTAGCCTTGCAAGCAAGCGGACCCGGGTACGATCCCCGAGCAGGGTAAAGTTTCTTAACGCCATTTGCCTCTGTCTACCCAGCAGTAATTGGGAACCTGGAAGTTAATGGATTTGAGGATCGTGTTCCGGGGTAATGTTTAGCCAGTGGAGTCTACACCTTAAACAAATTCATGCCAAGGTGGCCATCCTAGTTACACGAGGGGCAACCATTATTATTGTTTTATTATCTTCTGCAACTATATGATAATAATAATAGTTACTCCCACTACTACTACTACTACTAATAACAATATTAATAATGATAATAATAACAATAATAAAACATCTGAACATCCCGATCGCCAAAAATATAAATCGTCAAATATTCCCCCGAAAAATTTCGCGAATGTTAAAACCAAAGATGTAAATTTCATTCGTGTAAAAATTTTCTTACTATTTCTGAGACACAACTGCTGTTATTTATATACTTCTGGGAGGGACGTTAGTTGCTGTCTCCCTCCCTTCCCCCCTTCTCTCTCTCTGAACTAAAAATATGCAACTTGTTCATTTTTTTTGCAAGATTTATGGAATTTACAAACATGAATACACACCGAGACTCATACATACAAACATACATACATACATAGATACACCTACGAACATACATACACTGGAACCCACGATCATACGCAAACACACAGACACAGATTGACATATATATAAACACAGCATAATACACACACACACACACACACACACACACACACACACACATATATATATATATATATATATATATATATATATATATATATATATATATATATATATATATATATATATATATATATATATATGTGTGTGTGTGTGTGTGAAGGTCGCTATTTGCCTTGTAGATGTGAGCACCACTACTACCACTATTAACACTACCACCACCACTATCACCACTACTACAACCATCACCACCATCACCAGGCAGCTCAAGGCGATACACACTGCCGAACCTTCGTATCAGAATAGGATTTGTATATTGGGGAGGGAGGGAGAGGGGAGAGGGGAGGGGGGTGGAGGGAGGGGAAAGGGGTGTGAGGGAAGGTGCTGAGGAGAGTGATGTAGAGAGAGGTGCAAGGGAGAGGTTAGGTGGAGGTTGAAGGTGGGGGGTGAGGTTGGAATGGGGGGTGAGGTTGAATGGGGGGAGGGGGGTGACTTCATCTCATCTTGGATCAACTTTACCACAGCTTCTTGCCTCACTCCTCCCCCACAACTTTATACACTTCTATGTTAAGTTCCCTCATGTTGGCGGCGGCTTAGTTTCTTAGAGGAAAATATAACTTGTCGAATTAAGTAAAATGTGGTTTTTGGCGGTTGTCTTAGGAGGAAAATGCTGTTTTTGGCGGTTGTCTTAGGAGGAAAATGCTGTTTTTGGCGGTTGTCGTGGGAGGAAAATGCTGTTTTGGGCGGTTGTCTTAGGAGGAAAATGTGGTTTTGGGCGGTTGTCTTAGGCGAAAATGCGGTTATGGTTGTCGGGAGTGAAAATGCGGTTTTAAGTGGCTGTCGGGAGGAAAATGGTTTTGGGCGGTTGTCTTAGGAGGAAATGCGGTTTTTGGCGGAAGGTCAGAGGAAAATGCGGTTTTTGGCGTTGTCGGGAGGAAAATGCGGTTTTTGGCGGTTGTCTTAGAGGAAAATGCGGCTTTTTGGCGGTTGCCTGAGGAGGAAAATGCGGTTTTGGGCGGCTGTCGTGGGAGGAAAATGCGGTTTTTGGCGGTTGTCTTAGAGGAAAATGCGGTTTTGGCGGTTGTCGGCGAAAATGCGGTTTTTTGCTTTATTGGTTCCAGAGGAAAATGCTGTTTTTGGCGGTTGTCTTAGGAGGAAAATGCTGTTTTTGGCGGTTGTCGTGGGAGGAAAATGCTGTTTTGGGCGGTTGTCTTAGGAGGAAAATACGGTTTTTGGCGGTTGTCGTGGGAGGAAAATGCGATTATTGGTGGTTGTCGAGAGCTTTTTTATATATTATTATTATTTTTAATTAAGAGTTGTTAATATGACGAAGTTGGAGATATAACTTCTGAGTGATTTAAGTTAGGTTAGGTTTGGTTAGGTTAGGATTGGTTAGGTTAAGTTGGGTGTGCTTAAATTAGGCCAGGTTTGGTTATATTAGGTTAGGTTTGGTTATATTAGGTTTGGTTAGGTTTGGTTAGGTTTGGTTAGGTTAGATTAGGTTAGGTTAGGTTCGGTTAGGTTAGGTATCCAAGTCATTAATATTACAGCCTCATAGAACTATATTCAGGCTTTTTGTTTTTGGTGAGTGTTGTGGTGACGTGACTGATACCTGTTGACCGACACTTGCATGACACCAGTTATTTCAGTCGGGTGGTTGCGTGACCGATTTATTTTTGACATATATTTGTGATGGCGCGTTGTTATTGTTGTTGTTGTTGTTGTTATTGTTGTTGTTGGTGGTGGTGTTATTGTTGTTATTATTGTTGTTGGTGGTGGTGTTGTTATTGTTGCTGTTGTTGTTGGTGGTGTTGTTATTATTGTTATTATTGTTGTTGGTGGTGGTTATTGTTGTTGTTATTGTTGGTGGTGGTGGTGTTGTTAATGTTGTTGTTATTGTTGGTGTTGGTGTTATTGTTGGTGTTGGTGTTATTGTTGTTATTTTTAGTGTATTTTGAGTATTATTGTTGTTGTTATTGTTATTATCATTGTATGTTACGTTTGAAGGTGGAGTTTGTTACGTAACCTTTTTTTTCATCGTACTAATATTATTATTATTACTGTACTAGCACCTACAAAAATTATTATTATTATTATTATTATTATTATTATTATTATTATTAGTAGTAGTAGTAGTAGTATTGTTGTTGTTGTTGTTGTTGTTGTTGTTGGTGTTGTTGTTATTATTATTAATTTTATTGTTATTATGAGTGATAGTCCATGCGACAATTAAAAATAAATAAATAAATAATAATATAAAAGGCGGTAAATAGTTGGGTTTCTGAAGAGGAGAGATAATTGGGGTGTTGGGGTTGATGAGAGGCGACACGGGGAAGGGCAAGGTGAGGTAGTTGAGAGAAAATCCTCTCCTGGAGTCAGCTTTTGGCTCACTACCAGGAAGATGTGTTGGGAGGAGGTCGTGTGCCTTAGTTACCTACCACTGGGCAGGGTGAAACTATGGGCAAGTTTCTTAACGCCATTTGCCTCTGTCCACCCAGCAGTAATTGGGAACCTGGATGTTAATCGATTTGCGGATCGTGTTCTGGGGTAATGTTTAGCCAGTGCAGTTGGCGAGTTGTCCGGTCTTCTCTGACTATTCCTTGACACTGGGTCATGCAGCTCGTTAACTTGGGGTGTGGTTGTTGTGATGGCGACAGCTTCTACACCTTAAACAAATTCACGCCTAGGTGACCCTAGGGCCGGCCATCTTAGTTACACGAGGGGTAACCATTATTATTATATAAATGACATCGTTAATTATATTATTATTATTGTTGTTGTTGTATGATACCAGGTCATATAAGCATCACCTAATTTTTGTATTTATATTCAATAAGTTCTAAGTTTTTACACAAGAGAGAGGAATAAAAAAACAGGTGAGGAAACTGTGTATTGTGGGGAGTTGCATCAGAAGCGGAGAGATTGTCGAGCAGCGTAAGTGGTGGAGGAATGGTCGCTAATGTGGCCAATAGGTGATTTTTTTAACGTGGGGAGGTGGAGGGGGTGATCGATGGATTAAGGTGGCCCGGCTGATATATGGGTCTACTGTGTGGTGATGGTCGTGTTGATACAGGAATACATACATACACGCTTACATACATACACCCTTACATACACACACACACATCACAAAAATATGAACAGACACACGGTGGGCGAGGACCCTTTATATTTTCAAAACACCAAAAAACATATTAGTCGCAATTGCCAGATGGACATGTTATTGTTGCCACTGTGGAATACAAGAGAGAGGGGGGAAGCGGCCGGTCAGTTCTTGTAATCAAAACTCTCTCTCTCTCTCACACACGTTCCACTGTCCGCCCACTCACTGACCTGCTTGCTGCCCACTCATCCTCCCTTCCTCCCACTCACTGTGAAAGCAGATCTGTTGGTTGTGTTAAGTCTTTTGAGTTTATTGAGTAGCTTGAGTACAATAGTTTAGTCGCTTGAGTACGAGGACTTAACTAATTACCTGATTATTCACCTGAAGATTAACCACCCAAATGCTAACTTAATCTAATCCAACCTAACTTAAACTAACCTAACCTAACGTAACATAACCTAACTCAAACTAATCTAAGGTTAGGTATGATTAGGTTTGGTTTGGATTGGTTAGGTTAGGTTAGTTTAGGTTAGGTTAGGTTAGGTTAGGTTAGGTTAAGCATCCTAGCTAAAGGTTCTGGTACAGTTAATATAATTGATACTTGTGTGTGTGTATGTGTGTGTGTGTGTGTGTGTGTGTGTGTGTGTGTGTGTGAGAGAGGCAGGTAATATTTCTTCCCTTTACAGAGGTAACACTAATTAAAGATCCTCCATCATTATTGTCCAGATATTGACATTTATAATGGTGGAGGAGAAGTAGGAAGAAGGAGAGGAGAGGATGGGGAGATAGGATTAGTAAGAGGAGGAAGAGAGAGGGAGGAAGAGGAGGAGAGGGCAAGGGGTAGAAGCTGTGAAAAATCTCTCTCTCTCCGCCTACATTCAGTGGTTAAGAAACATAAACCAATGAGAGGATTCGTACCGTGATAGACCGTCTTACTGATTGGCCCAACAGGAGGACACACACACACACACACACACACACACACACACACACACACACCTGATCGACCGACAGTCAGGTGGAGGAGGAGGAAGGAGAGTACAAGAGGAGGGGTGAGGAGGAGGAGAGGAAGAAGGGTGTAGAGAAGGAAGGGAAGGGAAAAGGGAGGCAGATCGTTACTCACAGAGGCAGGCAGGCAGAGAAACAGGCAGGGGGGAAGTCAGTCAGTCAGCAAAAGAGGTGGAGAGGCAGACAGAATGGTAAGCAGTCAGGCAGGGAGGTAGCTCGTTAGTTAAAGAGGCAGGCAGAGAATCAGGCAGAAAGGGAGAGAATTAGGCAGGCAGGGGCAGGCAGAGAGGCAAGCAGGCAGGGAGAGAATCAGGCAGGCAGAGAGGCAGGCTGTAAAATTTTATGTGTTCTCACCTAAAACCTAATAAGTAAGACTCATCTCTCTCTCTCTCTCTCTCTCTCTCTCTCTCTCTCTCTCGTTCTTCGCAACACTCGGCGCTAACGCAGCTTATAGCCAATTCTTAATTCCTAGTTTTTAACGTGTGTGTGTGTGTGTTGAAGCGTGTCTGTGTGTGTGTGGTTCGTTTACCTTCACATGTTTGTTTGTTTCTGAGTCTGATTGCTCCATCTAGTGTGTTTGTTTATATACCATGACAAAAACAAAACAAAAGAGAAGCGACGAGTAACAACCAGACTCTTGAAGACAAAAGAATCGACTTCCTTAAAAAAAAAGAAAAATGTCTTCAGCAACACGAAGAGAAAAATTTACCACCCACTTCCTTCTTTTTTCGTAAACATCACAATTTCCTGTTTTCTTTAATATTATTTTTTATTTTATTTTACTCACGTATCTCTTATATTGTTTTCTTGAGTCTTGAGAAGAATTAATTTATTTATTTATTTATTTATTTATTTATTTATTTATCTTTATTTTTACACGGGGAAGAATTTATTATTATTATTATTATTTTGTTGTACCCGTGACCATGTCTGAGTCAGTTTTGGCGGGAAAAAGATGATTCCCGCCTAAATTATTTGTTGTTGTTGTGCCAGCTGGAAGGGCATCAACATGGCGGCGGGAAAGAGAGAGAGATATGGATAGCTAGAGAGACAGATAGATAAATAGATAGATGAGAGAGACAGAGAGAGATAGAGAAATAGAGGTATAGAGACACAGACAACATTAACCATCTGACCTGTAATTACAATCTTTTAACCTGGCGTAACTACCTCACCTTTATAACAACCTCATTATTGTAGACCAATCAGCTACAATATACGCGCTGTAGTTGTGACCTCTACATGATACGTAGGTGGAGGTGGGGGAGGAAACAGGACCACACACACACACACACACGTCCCCGCCATCGACGTGCATTTTAACACCACCACCAACTATAAAAAACAACCATAATAACAACAACAACAACAATAACAACCGCTATCATTACAACAATAACCACCACCACCACAACAACAACAACTACAACAATCACACTACTGAACGAGAGTGTTGAGGGTGGAGGGAGGGAGGGAGGGAGGGAAGGAAGGAAGGAAGCAGGGAGGGAAGGGTAGATGGAGGGTGGGGATGGGGGGAGGCTCCACCATTTGTGTGTTATTGCCGCAGTAATCATTAATACCAGACCATTACCTGTGCCATCCTCATTGAACTACCTTCTTAGCCCCCCTCCCTCCCTCATCCCCCCCTTCCTTCCTTCCGCCTCCCTCCATCCCCCCTCCCTCATCCCCCCCTTCCTTCCTTCCGCCTCCCTCCATCTACCCTCCCTCTTCCCCTTCCCTTCCTCCTTCACTCCTCCATCCCTCATCCCCCTTCCCTCCTCCCTCCACCCACCCCTACTCTCCCTTCTTTTCCCCCAAACTGCCAGTCACCCTACACTTCATATTCTACTAAAAAGAATATTAATTTAACTACACAAAAACTTAAGAAAAAACATGACTTATTATTATTAGATAACACCAAAAGGAAAGAAGGAAAGAGAAACAAGAATTAGCCTCAACTTTTACACCAGACTTTTGTTATTGGGTGAAAGCTTTTTTTTTTTTTTTTTTTAAGAGTTAATCAAACGGGGATGACACACACACATAGAATATTAATAGCTGAGCACACACACACACACACGGGGACAAGTTTAGTGAGTTGGTTATCGTCTGGTGGATTGGATAATGTAAGTGGGTGTGTGTGTGTGTGTGTGTGTGTGTGTGTGTGTGTGTGTGTGTGTGTGTTTGTTTGTTTGTTTGTTTACACGTTATTTCTTGATTGATGATTGGATAGATGGATAGATAGATTGATAGATAGATGGATGAATAGATGGATTGATAGATTTTTTATTGACTGACGAAGACTTTTCCATTAACGAACGAATTTTTTTTTTTACCTACGAACAAATATCTGGATTAACGAAACAATTTCTATTTACAAACAAACACCTCAATTTACGAACAGAATTACCGTATTTACAACCAGTTTTATTTACATGTATTTACAAATTCTCTTTTTAAATTTTTTCCCAGTGAAGATAAATTTATTTTAATCTGTTTAACAAAGGAAAAAAAAGTTTATGCCTAACGAAATTCTTCCAAATGATTATCCAGCCTTTAGTGGGGTAGGCTTATCTAGGGTGGGGGAGGTATTATGAAACCCTTAGGCCTATATAATATTTTTTTTAGGTGGAGAGAGGACACGTAGAAGAGGACAAAGCATAATTTTTAGGCCTATGGAAAAAAATAGAATTGAGCCAGTGATGTTCTGAGTGGTGGAAAGATAAGGTGTTTAGGCCTATCATCGTTTGCCTGTGATCTCATTGTCTTGGTGTTGCTGAGTGTGTGTGTGTGTGGTCTCTCTCTCTCTCTCTCAACCTAATTATTCTCCATGTAACTCTGTGTGTGTGTGTGTGGTCTCTCTCTCTCTCTCTCTCTCTCTCTCTCTCTCTCTCTCTCTCTCTCTCTCAACCTAATTATTCTCCATGTAACTCTGTGTGTGTGTGTGTGTGTGTGTGTGTGCATTGTGTTGCCGTCTCTCTCTTTAACACCGTGTATGTGTACTGTACAGGTGATCTACGCGCTGCGGGGGTGGATAGCCTTCGTGGCCTTCATAGACCTGGGTATGGCTGTACAGTGCTTCCTCGACGCCGACTCTTTCCTCGGCACGCAGCTGTACACCGCTGGCGACATAGCCGAACACGGTGAGTAACTTGATTCATCTTATTCACGGACTCATTTTTACTGATTTTAGTGATTCATTTAACTTATTTAGGGACTCAATTTACTCATTTAGGGTCTATTTACTCATTTAGGGTCATTTTACTCATTTAGGGACTCAATTTGCTCATTTAGGGACTCATATTACTCATTTAGGGACTCATATTACTCATTTTGGGACTCAATTTGCTCATTTAGGGTCTGTTTACTCATTTAGGGACTCATCTTACTCATTTAGGGTCATTTTACTCATTTAGGGGCTCATTTTAATCTTTATGGAATCAATTTACTCATTTAGGATCTCTATTTGCTTATTCAGGGATGTAGGTGAACACAGTGAGTACTTTATTCATCTTACTCATTCAGGAACTCATTTTACCCATTCAGGCACTCGTGTTACTCATTCAGGTACTCGTGTTACTCATGGACTCGTCTCAATTACTCATTCCTCCTGATGTGGATATTCTTATGTTACTCACCGCCGTCTTACTCACTGTGGGGAGGGGGTGATACTTACTCAATGTTTTAGGGAAGGGAGAGGAGGAAGTGAAGAGAGAGAGAGGTGAGGAAGAGAGGAAGGATGAGAGTGAGGAAGAAGGGAAGGGAGATGGGAGGGAAGGAGGGAGGGAGAGGGAGGGATGAACCATTTCTATAACACACAATGAAAGAGAGAGTGAGTATGTGCGTGTGTAAGGGAGAGAGAATGGGCGAGCGAGAGAAAGAAGGGAGAGAGAGTATGATTGATTGAGGTGATTATACTGGATAGCTTTATCACTTATGATTAATTGGTCTACCTGGCGGACCTACCCCCCCTCCCCCCCTCCCTCTCCCGCGTCCAGCGTTAGAGAGAGAGAATGTTGGGAGCATTACCTTAACACAGATAATTAAACAGGAGTTATAACAATTAATTACACCTGTAGGGTAATGGTCAGCATGCTCTCCTCGCAAGCGAGTGGACTCGGGTTCGATCCTCGGGCAGGGTGAAACTATGGGCAAGTTTCTTTACGCCATTTGCCTCTGTCTACCCAGCAGTAATTGGGAACCTGAATGTTAATCGATTTGTGGATCGTGTTCTGGGGTATTGTTCAGTCAGTGCAGTTGGCGAGTTGTCCGGTCTTCTCGGACTATTCCTTGGTCATTCAGTTCGTTAACTCAGGGTGTGGTTGCTGTATTGGCGACAGCTTCTACACCTAAAACAAACTGACGCCTTGGTGACCCTAGAGCCAGCCATCCTAGTTACACGAGGGACAACCATTATTATTCTTTAATTACACCAAACACCATGAGGGAGGAGTAATTAATATGGAGGGCAGGAACCTGGTGAGTGAGGCAGATGTTATCACACAACACTGTCAGGCTCCAGTCACCTGTGTTTGTTATGTTAATTGTGGGGAGGGGTGTTTGTGTGTTTAAGTACAGTATACATGCTTGTGTTTGTGTGTTTATATGTGTGTATGTATATGCTATGTATGTATAGGTGTGCATATGTGAGCTTACGTGTATGTGTGTATTTATTTGTGCATGTGTGTGTATTTGTATGTTTCAGTATATATGTATGTATGTATGTATGTATGTATCCTCTACTAAAGTGTTTCAGCAGAGTTCCTCAGCTAAGTCAATAGTATTATATTAATCTCACCCATCTCTCTAAACTCCCTTGAGATGAATTATTGGTTCCTTGGCATCATAGAGGCAGCTGTGTTGACCAGACGAATGACTCATTTGACCATTTATCATGACTTTAACTCCTCTTTAACGAGTAAGGTATTTAACCACTTATTTTTGGGGTGAGTAAATACATAAACTTATCAATAATTAAAGAGAAATAAAGAGAGCTATTGTAAAAAAAAAAGACTCTCTCTCTCTCTCTCTCTCTCTCTCTCTCTTTTTCGTATGGCTGTTGTTTTTAGCAGTAGTAATTCATAACAGAGGGAGTACAATGATAAAATCCCCCTTATAGATGAAATACACAATAACATTAACCCTAATCTGGTTAAAGGAGACATTAACCAGATAGTAACCCTGACTTGATAATGTTAAACTAAACTAACAGATGGTGGTGTTGTCTGGAGAAATATTTATGTAAAAACAGAAAGAATTTAACCCTGCACACACACACACACACACACACACACACACACACCTAAAACACGAAACAGGGAGACGATTCATGTTTATGTCCCGCCATCTGTATCAGGAGGTATAAAGTGTCTGTTTTTTTGTGTTTTTTTTGTCAACCCGTTCATCAATACGTCCATGCATCCGTTCGTAAATGCGTCCTTAATTCTGTTCGTGTATCCGTCCGTGCGTCTATTCGTGAATCTATCCGTCAAATTAATAAAAAAATTTCCCACTTCATTTTGGGACAAGCAGATATATTTTCGTGATTTATGAAGTTTTCGGTATATTAACGTATGAGTGTATGAGGGAGTAGTTCTTGTTGTCACCTCTAGTACACTTACATTACAGCGCCATCTATAGGGGCAGTCAGGACAACTTGGTTCCGGCGGGAGGTTTACAGAATGACGTTTTGGTAACGCTTATCTGGGGAAAAACGTATGGACAGTTAAGCTTACTCATTAAACGTGACGTCATTTGGTTTTGTGGTGGGTGATAGGCAATAGAATATGACGTCATTTGGTTGTGTGGTGGGTGATAGGCAATAGAATATGACGTCATTTGGTTGTGTGGTGGGTGATAGGCAATAGAATATGACGTCATTTGGTTGTGTGGTGGGTGATAGGCAATAGAATATGACGTCATTTGGTTGTGTGGTGGGTGATAGGCAATAGAATATGACGTCATTTGGTGAAAGACGAACACTAGGAGAGATTGAGTAAGCAGCGCCATCTATAAACATGAGGAGTTCACAGCGCTGGGTTAGGTTAGGTTAATTTAGGTTAGGTTAGGAGGCATCATCAGCAGAAGGAGGGGCAAGAAGAAATAGGAGGCATCAGCAGCAGAAAGAGGGGTTAGGGTTAGTCAGAGGCATCATCAGCAGAAGGAGGGGTGGGGTTAGGCTAGGCTAGGAGGCATCAGCAGAAGGAGGGGTGGGTTAGGTTAGGTTAGAGGCATCATCAGCAGAAGGTGGGGTTAGGTTAGGTTAGAGGCATCAGCAGAAGGAGGCGGCCAGTTTATCATCAGCAGAAGGTGTGGGGTTAGGTTAGGTTAGGAGGCACTGCATAGAGGGGCGGGGTTAGTTAGGCATCATCAGCAAGGAGGGGTGGGGTTAGTTAGTTAGAGGCATCATCAGCAGAAGGAGGGGTGGGGTTAGGTTAGGTTAGAGGCATCATCAGCAGAAGGAGGGGTGGGGTTAGGTTAGGTTAGAGGCATCATCAGCAGAAGGAGGGGTAAGAAGAAGCTAGAAGGCATCATCAGCAGAAGGAGGAGAGGCTGGAGTGGTGGGGGCGGGGGTTAGCTTTTACCTAAGTGGGGAACACGGTGGGGCAGGAGGAGCTGTGCCTGAGCTTCCTGTTTCTCCGTCAGGTTTACGAGCCGGTCGAGCTGCCTTCCTCTTATTCTCAGACGGGTTTTACTGAAGTTTTGTTTTGAGTTATAGTGTGTGTGTGTGTGTGTGTGTGGGTGTGTGTGTGTGTGTGTGCTTTAGTGTGTATGTGTTTTTAGTGTGTGCAGTGTGTTTCTTTGTGTGTGTGTGTGTGTGTGTGTTTGGGTGTATGTATGTGTGCATGTGCGCATGTGTTTTCTTTGTGTGTGTGTGTGGCTTTTGTGTGTGTGTGTGTTTTTCTTGTGTGTGTGTGTTTATAATATCTTTGTTGTTCGTCCTTGCTTGTCTGTTTAAATGTCTGCAGATCTTTTATTTACTCTCTCTCTCTCTCTCTCTCTCTCTCTCTCTCTCTCTCAAATATTAAGAATTCTCCAGCAAAACTTTTTCAGGGCAGGTGATGTTGACTGTGGTGGTGGTAGTGGTGAAGGATGTTTGTGGTGGTGATGGTGGTGCTGGTGATGATGGTGGTGAAGAATGTGTGTGGTGGTGAGGGCTGGCTGGCTAGTATACTTCACCCTAACCTAACCTAACCCTTAAGTATATTCACCAAGTTTAGGTCTTACGGCAAATATTTGTCTCTCTAGCGCACCTGGCAGTGTTATTGGATCACATGAAGATTAGTCACCCCGGCTTATTTCACCTGATGATTAAACAATCTAATGCTAATCAAACTTCACCTAATCTAATCCAACCTAACCTAACCTATCCTCATTTAACCTAACCTAACCTAACCTATCCTCATTTAACCTAACCTAACCTAACCTAACCTATCCTATCCTCATTTAACCTAACCTAACCTAACCTAACCTATCCTCATTTAACCTAACCTAACCTAACCTAACCTAACCTCATAAGCTTTCAGGTGAACTATTTTTTTAACACGTGTATAAATAGTACAGAGTTTACAGGGGATAAATTCGATATAAACTTAGTTCTGGCTCCTCACTTTACCATACTTACACACACACACACACACACACACACACACACACACACACACACACACTAATCTTCCTATGTCTACCTTCCTATATACCTGACGGGCATGATAGGCACATAGCGGTAACAGCACACAAGCACATCAGTACGGAGAGAGGAGGGACACTGTATCCATCATTTTCACTACACTAACTCTAACGTTCTGTACCCATTCATATGTAGGTTGGGACTAGGGAGGGTGGGGGGGGGGTACCTGGGGGATCGAACCAGTAACTGTTAGGACGGCAGGCGAGCGGTGTATCCACTCGGCTGCCTCACACTTAAATGTAACTAAAAGATGGAATAAATTTTTCACGCCTTCTTACGTGTGGTGTGGCTGACGTGTGTGGAGGAGGTGGAGGTGGTGGTGGTGGTGGTGGAGATGGAGGAGGTGGAGGAGAAGAAGGTGGAGGAGGTGGAGGAGAAGAAGGTGGAGGAGGAGGCCTGGGCTCGGGGTATCAGAGGTCTCTTGTTTAAGTTCTCTTGTTCTTTGGCTTTAAC